AATTGCTATGTCAAATATTTTGTTGGCTTATAAACTATCGATGGTATGAAGGACAGCTGTTGTGTTTTGAAGACTACAGTACATTGTGCCCGGGAGTCCTGTGTGTGTTACAGCCAGAGAAAGGTACCCATCTATCTCTTCTATTAACCTGTCATACGTACGCCGAGCGTTCGGTTGAGACACAAGGGAGTGTTGATGGTTTCCTCGTGTCTATGGAATTCCTGTCATTTTCGTGCTGTTCTCATAAGTAAATGGGTACGATACAATGCCAATGAGCAGAAGTGAACATTCATCAAACATGTCTTGTCAGGACCTGGCCTCCAGTCTCGGCTCTTGGAATAGTGTTTGTGTATCATCTCCACAAACAGTTTATCTCTGGGGAATCGGGTGATTTCTTTTCAAATGATGTCTTTTTATGATGAAATTTCTTTTGAACTGTTTATTGTCTGTTTGGACCAGATGATAGTCACATTTTAACCATCTACTATAAACATATTTTTAACTAACTCAAACTTTGACGCATTATCAAAATTTTAATGTTGCGCATTATCAAATTGGAATAGATTTGCGCGTTAATTAATTGCCGCACCAACAACAATATGCATGATCTGCAATTGGCGCGGTGATTGGTTAGGGCAATATCTAAAGCACTAAGATAAGAAACCCGCTAAAATATGTACATCATTTGCAGTAATTAGTAGACCTATTGGCATCCTAGGTATCCCATATACAGAGCTCCAATTGTATACATTATGTTCCTTTAGATATTTGTAAGTAGATTGATGGAGTGTGGGTTTGTGTTCAGTATATGTAGTGTAGTTCGTTTTTGTCAATAGAGAGTGGGGGTTGTTTTATATAAATTTAACTGTCGGTTTGTTTTTTCGATAAAGTGTGTGTTTGATTTGTGTCGATTTATTTATTGTAGTATGTGTTTGTTTTTGTCGATGGAGTGTGTGTAGTGTGTGTTGATCGTTTATTGTCGATTGAAAGTGCGTGGGTTTATATTTTTGTCAATAGAGTGCGAGTCCGTTTCTGTCAATGGAATGTGGTTTTTGTACACTTACGATTGAAAGTGGATGCGTTTTCTGTCGATGGAATGTTGGTTGATTTTGTCAATGGAAAGTCGGTTTGGTTTGTCCATATATTGTTGTTTTCTGCCATGTAGTGTGACTTTATTTTTTGTTGATGAAGTGTGTGTTTATTTTCTGTCGATAGAGTGCGGGATTGCTGTCTGTCAATAAAACGTGATTGTGTATTGAGTCACTTACCTGACTACGTGGTTGTTCTGCGGGTAATCTTAGCACATTATCGAATTGGAACAAATCTTCTAATGGATACTCATACTTCAACGCAATTTTCAAAGTGCAAAAACTGCTAAAACAATTACGCTGTAAGTATGTTATATACTTCTATGCTTGATCCTAATTTATAGCTTTACCGGAAAAACTGTTCGGCTAAATTGATAACTTGACTATGAATTTCAGCTTTTTGCAATAATGCATTTTTAGCATTCGATCCAATTTCTATTGAACTTGATAATACTCATGTTATTCACGAAAAGTTCAGATCTTCTTGCACTTACTGTTAATTGAGGCATATCACTTTCTTTCCAATACAAACCCGCATTGCCCCGTTTTTAATCCTTTCGATCGGAGTTAGTGTTATAGATACTCTTTCGCAATATTTGATGCTTACAACCATATTTATTTAAAAATTATTGAAATGTTGTTTAGAAAAAAGATCATACATGTATTTGAAACTATGAACTGGATGCACATTTGGTTTAATGCTTACACAATGTATTTGCACCACTGAGAGCACACAATGCGATAACGATTTTCAACAAATATAGTCGATTGAAAAAAAAAATCAACTGTGAAAAACGTTAAATGGAATAAAGTGAACGTTTCATTTGTGTATATGACTTGGTAATTTATCTTAAAAGTTCTTTCTACGTAATACGTCATATGGACGTAGTGAGGGACATCCCCCTCGGTTTATTTTGTGTAAAATTTAGGAATTACTACTATAAAACGAAGAAACATACGTCAAAGAACTCAATGAACGAGGAAAAATAATTGATATCCCACAAATATAAAAAGATCAAACTGCCGTGTTTTTGGTCTCTTGTCAGTTGCTGCTGCTGGGAGCTGAAGGTAACGTCTGTTAATTCTTACCCAGATAGTTACATATCACACAATAAGGTTTCCCTCAGCTTCAATGTAGTTTAGGAGCCTGCAATAATAATGTTTAATCAAAATTGAAGAATTCTTATTTTATTACTGTTGTAAGGAGTAAATTTGATATATTATTGAAGAAGTGAAAGAAGAGGGGGAAAATGTTAATCCATTAACTCTGGAATTAATAGCAGAAATAGCATTACATTTTTATTATTATATTAGCTTGGTTGTCTAGACACGTCTCTGTTAATCTGTTATCTAGTTTCGCTAGCACGATTGTTGCCTACGCCCACCTCATTTGTGTTGTTCTCTCGGCATTTGTTTAGACAAAGAATTGTTCATAGAATGAAACATATATTACGAGTGACAGCATCAGATTAGTGATGCATAAGATCATAGAGAAGATATCTACAGTAGAATGGGATCAATAGGGGAAGGAGGAGATAAAGCAAAAGTAAGCAGAAGTTATTGTAGTAGCCTCGGTGGGAAGAGTTATGGCTTATATATGGGCAGGAGGCTGGGGAGGAGGTGGAATGCGATTTTGACAGAAAGAAGGACAAATAAATTCATCAGTCTTCACATTCTTCATTTCTACACACTATAGATCAAAGGAGAGTTCTAAAATGTGTTCCCTATTTTTAATACATCGCGATGTACATTAGTAAAGCTAGTATCTTGACATGCACTTGTATCTATAGACCAGTACTGTAACGTGTAGAACAGTCTTCACTTGACGTACGTCTATACTGGACACATATGCTCTTAATTAAAATATTCTTCAGACTGTCAAAGACATTCATGTGATATGTGTTCAGTTTAAATCCCCCGCCCTCCCCCAACATACAAATCTTATTTGCGGCCGGTTTGTTATAAGTGATACACTATTTTCATATCTTATGACAAACATTAATTGTTTTATGATGGAGTTCTCTAACTTGCAACAATGGCCTTGTGTCTACAACAAAAAATGTCACCAAGATAACGTTTGTCGATAAGAGTTGCTTGTGATCTTCTCTGTCATGTAATAAGTAACGCGTGTGTTCTCTGATACATCTCAACACTGTGTACGAGGACCAAACATATCATACGCACTTGTTTCATTGTCAGCTGAGCTGGTGATACCATCTGGGAGGACTTATAGACCATTATAGAAATAAAGGGATGTCTTTGTTTTGTCGTTCCAAATTATTATGATTAGATCAAGCATATTACTTACCGTAGTTAATAATTCGCTAATTAGTTTTACTAATTAACCTGTGTTAACATTCTGATCCAATTTACCAATGTATATTGGTATTCTCGCTTGGTAGGCACAGTGTATAACTGCTTAGTCTCTGTTAATGCCGTGGTATACATATACATTGTCTATGAAGAAATTCGGGATTTAATCAATACTGGAAATTACGAGACTAGTATATCCGGTTTGTTTATGACATTTGGCCAAAACAAGTGGATTTTTATCCGGAATGTATCTATAAATGGCACTTGTACTAGATGAATGTACCAGTTTATATCGAAGGTTTGTATCGATAAAGCAATTAAAAGACGGTTGTATATGTGTATATCGATAGACAATTACTAGACGATTGCATCGGTTTGTATCGATAAAACAATTACAAGACAATTGTATCGGTTTGTACCGATAAAACAATTACGAGACGATTGTATCGGTTTGTATCAATAAAACAATTTCTAGACAATAATTGAATCGGTTTGTGTCGATAACACAATTACGAGACAATTGTATCGGTTTCGTATCGATAAAGCAAATACTAGATGATTGTATCGGTTTGTATCGATAAAACAATTACTAGACAATTGTATCGGTTTGTATCGATAACACAATTACGAGACGATTGTATCGGTTTGTATCGATAAAACAATTACTAGACAATTGTATCGGTTTGTATCGATAAAGCAATTACTAGACGATTGTATCGGTTTGTATCGATACATAACAATAATATACGATCATATTGGTTTGTATCGATACCATGAAACCAATGCTAGACTGATTTGTGAATCAGGAAAGCAATGATAGGACCGGGAAACATCCTCCTATATAGTACACTGAACATTATCATGACTGTTGACCTAATTCTACATATAACGTCACCTGTCTTTCCATTGTATGCTGTACGACTCATGGCATAACTGGCATAGTGGCGTCTCAAGAGGACGTAAATGAGGATACATATTTGGCTTCAACAGCTGCTTCTTACTCTCCAGGAACTAAGCAAAGCATGTGCATTATGTTAGACGGTACATGAAATATATAATGGCTATTGAAAGACATGCATACGTGACATGTAAGACATTTTATACGTTGTTAAGAAACAACATGTCTCTTTTAACCTCGTATCATTGGGGTTTCTTTTTAATCCATTATAAGTGACCTTAGCGTTTTAATGAACGTCAATACTATTTTGATTTTAATGATAATTTGTATTTGTGATATTCTTTGCTACGAAGGTTGCCGGTTCTGTAAACAGTCCACTCTGTGAAAATTGTTTACGGTGTGCATTAGACGGTCGTTCGTAGATTTAACAAATAGTCAATGTATTTATATCCTGGTCTGTTTCTTAGTGACTATGAATTTTCATATTTATCGACTTAAGTTTTATTCGTATCCTTGTTGATCGATACTTTTTATTTTTATTTTGGGTCTGTACATCTGTACAAGTAGTTGTTTAAACAATAGGAAAAATATGTTTTGTTTCTGTACTGAAATATATATAACGAGGGATACATGTGGTTGTCACAATGGTCAATGTTCATATTGTAATCGATAACATTTTCCAATTACACTTTTTTTCAAAGTGCCAAGACTTCTCGGCCACAGATGTGCAGAAGACGCAAACTGCATTGACATTCCAAACGCCCGATGTAGCGAAAACAACACATGCATTTGCACGTACAAGTACAAAGACACAGACGACAGGACAGCATGTAGCGCACGTGAGTCACTGTGGACAGCCTAGTACTATTTATAGTGTTGTAAGAAGTGATGCCATTGTTAGATGATGTCTAACCTTCCGTCCGTTGTACGTGTATTACCTGTGAATTATTTATCTTATGTACTAATATCCAGGTGCGATCATCGCGACGATAAATATATTTGTACCTTCAACACCTTTGACTCCTTAGAAAAAACATCATAATGAAACACTCGCAGAATACATCCGTACCCAAAAATAATCTTTAGAATTTGTTTCAACGAATGAAAGGAACGTCAGTTTGATGTCACAAAGCTACAGTTGACGTGTTTACACTTACAGGACCCCGGGTATCCATTCCGACTGTCACCGATCTTTGGTTAGGTCGCATTTGTAATCTTGAGGACAAGGAACCGTGTCCAAATTGGAACATCACTAATCAGCGGTGTATGTCAGAGGACGGCAGGGTCAACACCAGGTGTCGCTGTGTGGCGGGTTTCTCTAACGTTTACAACGAAGGCGAATGTCAAGGTAAACACTTTTGTCATTGTAATAATTAAACCAGGCTATATGTGTTTTTTGACGGCAAATATGTTTCAACTATTGACAAACACGCTTATACTTTGTTATTGACAACGAAATATACATTGCACACATGATGTTAGGTAAACTCGGATGTCAAACTATTCTCGGGGGGGGGGGG